CAAGGACAAGGACAAGGACAAGGACAAGGACAAGGACAAGGACAAGGACAAGAATAAGGACAAAGGCAAGGACAAGGAAAATGACAAGGATAATGAAAAGAACAAAGACAAGGTCAATAAAAAGGACAATGACAGGGGCAAGGAGAAGGGTAAGAACCACGACAAAGAAAAGGACAAGAAACAAGGAGAAGGGCAGGGACAAGGAGAAAACAAGGACGAGGAAAACGACAATGGCAATGACAAGGAAAATGACAATGGCAATGACAAGGACAGGGACAGGGACAGGGACAGGGACAGGGACAGGGACAGGGACAGGGACAGGGACAGGGACAGGGACAGGGACAGGGACAGGGACAGGGCAAAGGAAAAGGACAAGGACAAGGTCAAGGACAAGGATAATGATAATGACAAGGATAAGGAAGAGGACAGGGACCGGGACAAAGACAAGGACAGGGATAAGGATGAGGACAAGGACAGGGACAAGGACAAGGGTATTGAGCTACATGTGGAGGTAATTTTTGCATTTGAATTCGACCTTATCACCTTATCATGGAAGCTATCCACGCTTTACTGGAAGAGAGGGATTTTTTTTAAACAAAGCTTTTTCATGGATAGTGAGAAAGGTATATTACTGATTTAGTATCTGGAATGGTGGAACGTTGCGGTCAGGTTAGACCTTCCGTGGTCGGCAGGTAACGATAAAAACCATTTTCTTTTTTTTCTTTCCAGAGTGTGTATCGGTTTTCCACCCATAGTTGAACTTTTTAATCATTTTTCCAAGCATAATTCAAATTTCAAAGCTTTGTCGGTCCCCAACGAGCAACTGCGGGCAGAATGGTTGAAGTACCCAGTTAGTATCTTCCCCACCGGCCAGAAAGCCCAAGAACAAGCTAGATTACTTTTACTTCCTTCAAAAGTCACTGTATTCATTTACTTAATTTCCACAGAATAATGTCTAAAACCATCGGTAAACTATTTCAGCTTTAATTTAGCTTTTGTATTGAATTAATATAGTGATTATACAAGCATTAGTTGGCAGTCAATTCCCAACAACCAATCAGTTGCAAATGTATACTATTACTTTTTGATTTCTACGGTTGGTAAAAGAAAATCAGCTCTCTCATCAGTGTGCCACGGGTTTTTGACAAAGAATAGAGGGAGCTGCTCCATAGCCGCTGCATGGATTATCATTCCACTTTCCTGCATTCCCCCCGCCTTTATACATTTGGGCGCAATTTTCGTGCCCTCCAAAGTTGTTCGGCTCTCCGTGACCCCACACCTGATAACCAGCATAGCTATTGTCAATCCAGTAAAAGCTAGAGCCTCTTCGATTAAGCCCAAGCCACACTCCCTCGTTAGATATCCCTGGGTTGTTTTTTAACAGGTTGAAAATGAAGTCTCTCTCCCCAGCGGATTTAATGGTGGGTAAGTTTGCTCCCATGCTAAGGCATTTCTGCTGAGCAGCGGACCTGTCTGTGGTTCGGCTTGGGTCGATGTAAAAACATGATACTCCATTTGTAGACCAACCGGAAGGACAGGCTGCAATAAAACAGCGCAATTAAAATACATGAACGGAAATTAAGTCTGGAGAGTCATTTGATCATGCAGAAATGACTATTATGAGAAAAGTCAGACAACAGCATCAACAAAAAGATGTTTTCTGGAGCGAAAATAGCCTCTAAATTTCTCCTATTGAGGCCAAAGTGTCATAAAACCTGTTACCATTTCTATTTAGTTTGAGCCATCCCTCAGATTCGTAATTGACTTTGAGTAAAGTGAAATGTTGTTTGAGCGTTTGAAATGTTTTACAAATATCAGGTATATTGATATATTTCTTTCGAATGAATCAAAATTCTTTTTCCTTCGCAAAAATAAGGCCCCTATGGGAGATATCTAAGAAAATGGAAAATATATATTTATGTAAGATTGATTAAGGTGAAATTATATGAAATACAAGGCTAATTTAACTGATCACTACCCAAGTCGGCTAATCTTGCAAATATAATGGGTTTAAAAAAAAAAGTGAGTAAAAATACTGTCCTTATGCAAATAAGTCAGCTCAGATATACTCTTTTTCCGGGCTTCTTTCTGATAAGGTCTACGGTGATGAATTCTTACACGGCTTAACGCTGTACTTTATGGGTTAACTCATGTTAAGAAACTCGTATAACAAATACAATTAGCCCCTCATAACAAAAGTAATCCTCTGCTTCATCTTGGCTAAATTCAGAGTTTCATGGGAGGTGAAAAACAAAATTGAGTTCAACTTGGAGCTAATATTTACATTTACATTGAACAACATACTTATATTAATATATATAAAGTACCCCATATTTATACGAACACTCCTCACCGCAGTTCTGAGTGTTGCATTCCTGCTCCTCTTCTGCTGGTCCTAGGTTTAGCTCCAGGCAAGTTTTTCCACCATTAGATGGTAGCGGGTTTGTGCAGGTTCTTGTCCGCTTCTGAGTTCCTCCGCCGCAGGTGGCAGTGCACTGTCCCCAGTTGGACCAAGTGCTATATCCACCATTTACGGCTAAAAACAAGTAGAAATAATTTTGAGACTCCTCTGATCATTCCTTTCTTTATAAAAAGTTTCGATATGTTCATATGAGATAACGGACCAGAACTCATTGCGGGGTTCTCGGTTTTCGCCTCCGAGACTTCCGAGACTTCCGAGACAGTTCTGACATCCGACTGAGCATAAATATTCCATATGACTGCATTATTTTTGTTATCGGATGAAATGTAAAGGATTGCACATTATTACATATACATACAGAGATTTGCTCCGAGGAAATTTTTCGAATAAAAGTGATTTGTAATAAACTGCGCGAACTCTAACTATTTGGAAGGTATTTTTTTCAAGTGAAAAATAAATATTTTGACCAATCGCAGGCCGCGGACGAAATTTTTCGCTAGTCATTTGCCTTTTAGCACCTTCACTGACGGCTCATACATCAAAAGATGAGCTATGGCTTGCTCTTTTGCTTCTTCTCTGAAAAATTCAAGGTTTGCAGTGATAACTTTCGTTAGAGGACTTGATACAAAAGCATGGAAATGAAAATACCAGAAAGAGAACTGAATAGAACGTCGCTTTACTGAGAAAATGTTTTGTCGTAAAACTATGATTCAAACTTTGACATACAACAACATCCCAGCGACAGATATCAAACAATTGTCTGGTCATAAAAATTTTCATCACATAGCCAATTATTTCGTAGTATCCGAAGAGCAACTGTAAAAAAAAACCTAAATCTCTAAATTCTGACTCTGATTAAAAAGCATTTCGATTCGTATTTCAATGAGCGATTCGAGTTCAGAAAACAGGCATTGCAAAATTAAACTAATCATTATCTGAACTTACAACAGCTTCCAAATTGAATTTCCATTTCGTGCTATTTTCGTATCATTTGAAAAATTATTTATCGAGGTGTCCATTTTGCATGTTGGTGTGGTGAGTTGGATTCGCTAGACCTGATTCATAATCACATAATCATATTTTGTTCTAAACCTCAACAGGTATAAAATAAGCAAATCACTTCTTGGTTAGTTCGCTTGCACGATTTTTATTTACTCGTTGCGCTCGCTAACGTTGAAGTAGCCTGTATTTCTTTTCACTTACAACATAAGGAAATGGAATCCTCGCTCCCTAATTAAGCTGAAATTTCTTATCAGCCGTTTACCAGGCTCTTATGAAGAGGCTGCATTCACGTTTATAAGTCCTAATTCTAGATTAAATTAGGATATAATGATGACTTCCTACAAAAAAGGTAATGTAAAGCTCGTCTTTAAGACTGGGCTCTTATTATAACACTCCTTACGACAGTTCTCCGTGTTGCATTCCTGTTCTTCTTCTGACGGCCCCAGGCCTTGCTCCAGGCATGTCTTTCCACCGTTCGATGGTGGTGGGTTTGTGCAGGTTCTTGTGCGCTTCTGGGTTCCTCCACCGCATGTAGCACTGCATCCTCCCCAGCTAGACCAAGTGCTGTAACCGCCTTGCACGACTGAAATATGTCAAGTAATTTGTTTGTTAAAATACAGCTTTTTCAAGGAATAATCCGTAGAACTTGCACTTCTGCTGATTTAGTAAGGCATGGAAAATTAAACTGATCGACCTACCACCGCACATGCCAGCTTTTGTGTATAAATTCTTAAGCGTCTCCAAAACCTCTGCCCTGGCTTCTTTGTTTTTTCCGAACTTCTTTAACTGAAGCAACTCTTTGATACGTTTGATATCTTCTTTCACTTCGGACTGGACATCTGCAAATAAGGAAAAGAGGCAAAACTGGGATCCTTCACGCCTAAAAATGTCTACTTTATCAGTAGCATAAATGGTTTTCATAGCTTGCGCAAATGCTTTAGAAAACGTTATTGCTTATTCAAATTATCAATCAACAGAGTGCTCCCGCAAGAAGAGACAAATGGCTTCTGACTCATCGCCGTAAAATAACTCATAAGGAGGCTCACTTTGCTGCGGTAGTGTTCTTTTCGTTCTTATTTTCGTTCCGAGGGTTTATCTTCATTTTAAGTTCCATTTTTTGTGGTCATTGTGGCATTTACAAGATATTATAATATCTGGCAATTACTTACCCCCGCAATTGTCAGCGATGGCCGACAACTTATCGAGAAGTTTTAAAACCTTCTTTTTTTGCTTCTTTCCAAACTTTTTCTTCTCAATCTGGGTTTGGATTTTATCCAAGATTGTCTCCATCTCTTCCTCCACATTGTTTTCATCGTCTGAATTGTTTACGTTGGTAGTTGTTAACATTGTTTGCAGTTCCTCTGCAAAGAAAAGGAATAGCCGAGCTATTTAAGGTTGTGATGTTCTCTGATGACATGACCAAACAAATTTAGTCGCTACCATTGCTTGGATTAAAAAGAAGTGAGCAAAAAAATCATGCGACTGTTGGTATTGAAACTGTAAAAGTAGAGGTCTGTTTGGCCGTGAATAGCAAAGTAACTTTCATGAGAAGTTTTAATTGCGTGTATTGCTTCATGCCAAGAATAAGGGAGGACTAAATTAGGAAAGTTGTTCACAAAAATAACGAAGCTTGGTTTTGAATTAGATGGAATGTTATGAATATCATTTGCTATTAAAGTGTGTTCTGATTGGGTATGCTCAACTCCGGTTATCAGCTCGTACACCGAATGACTCAGCCAAGTGTTGTTAAGCTGAACTTATTTTTGGATGTAAGTAAAAATTTCTCCCGTGCATTGAAAAGAAAGTAAAACAAATCCTAGTCAATTTTCACCTCGATGACAAAGGAAAAAGCCACAAAGTACGATATAGCACTATTGAATCTGCACTTGACATTGGCATGTTATGGTCCAGAAAAAGTATAACATTGCCACAATAAAACCCAGGTGCCTTCAGAATTTTAGGGCAACTCGCAAATTTCGCGTTAAAATTAAAACGAAAGCTGTCTTCGTTCCCTCTTTTTATCCGTTTCAGTTAAACAAATACTTAAATAAATTGCACAATTCACACTCGAAAGCTTGTCTCGTAAGTATTGTGAAAATTGTTATGTGACTCAAGTTATTCTGAATTAATTTCTTTTTTTCAAAAAAAGGAGAGTTAAGAAAAATTTAGTAAGCTCCCACAACATTACCAAAAACTGTTATAGTCAATAAAGCAATTATTCCATTCGTGCTTATTGGATACGAGACTGGTTACAGCCAACTCACACACAAAAAACACCCATAGAATAATTTTAAAATAATATTTTGTTAGGGCTAATGGTCATACGTTAATAAAGGGCTCTCTCTATAGACTCAATGTAACATTCAGGAATGAAATATACGTAATAATGTATAGAGAAATAAAGAATATTATTATTAATTATCGTTATTGTCATTTTTTCAGAGACAGAAAGGTATTTCTATAAACTTAGGATAACATTCAGCAATGAAATATATAGAATAACGTATAAAGAATATTTTTGCAAAAAAAAATTAAGAATATATTTTGTAAAATTGTTGTTATGGTTACTTTCTATGTCACAGAGGTGATCATAAATTCAGTGTTTAATTTGTGTATGTAACACTCTTAAAAACAATTTTGCCAAAAGCCCTGGCTTCGCAATGTTGAAGAAATAAACTGTGGTTTCAAGAAAAAGAGCATTAACGAGCTTATGGGGCTACGTCCACATATCACTAAAGGTATAATATGTGTTTGAATGAATTAGGAAGGAAATTGTTTTCTTAGCAGCCTTTTCTCGATGGCAAATATTGAAAGTCTAATTTTTTTTCCTTTATGAGCAGAAAGAAAAACGAGGTAAAAAAAAGGTCAAATACAACTGAGTTATAGTAAATGGGAGCCGATTGCAAAATATTTTAGTTATATGGTTGCGGACCCTTGTATCCTAAAACATATACAGTCTCGAGGGAGTATGGACGTAAATGTTCATTAAGCCCGTGCTTGAGCCGTGTTTTCTTTCTTAATTAACAAATTAAAAGCCGCAGAAGCGGAAAGTGATAATTGTCAAGTTCAGTCCACTTCATCTCTAGACCATTCTCTTTCAAGTCCTTCTAACAAATTACTTTATCCCATAAGGCCTCTTTTTTTAATGCGGACAATAACTTCAAGTCTCATTTTTTTGTCGATGACTTATTTGTTTGTAAAACGAAATATAAAAAACAAATTTTTGAGGTGATTGAGGCTTGAAAAGCGCCTACCATGCGAGTTTGGTTTTAGAATGTAATTATGTTTACCTTCGTCAGACTCCCCGGGTTGTATCGCCTCCATTGAGAGGGAGAGGAGCATAAGACAAAACATTACAATAATTTCCTTCATACCCATCTCGATTCTGGGAAAAAAGAAGAAAATGACAAATGTGATGCATAAAGGTGGAAATGCCAACAACCCGTTCGGTTATTTTTAATTTCCAGTTGTTTTAATTTCCAGATAACACATTTATTTCTGAAAAAATTCCATGTGTCTGCCATTATTTCAGACTCGAATGTGTACTCAAAATGCTCTTGTTTCAAAATGCAAAGCCAAACAGTTCGTCTTGATAACTGGGCACTCCCACCACGCAGGTCCATGTTCTTAAGTCGGATTTACTTCAGAACGTTCACTCCTCTAACAAGTGTCAAAAATAAGTTACTTCTGTACGTAACAAAGACATCATGTTCCTATATTAATTTTATGACAGAACTCGTTATCCTCTCGGCTATCGCCTTATTTAAACCTGCAAAAGATGCACATGGAGACAGTTCACGTATTTTTAATAAGTCCAATTTAGAAAGCTACTCTCAGACTCACCTTAGGCGACGCTCGCACTTCTCAAAGAGGAAATGCCTCAAATAAGACGTACGTCAACTTTTTATAAAAACATTAATGAAGGTTGCTCTCTATTGGCTGATGGTTGCGTGATCACTCCTCTATTGGTTATTAATGTGGCAAACGGAAAGCAAATGAGCTTGCCTCCAAGAAAGACTAATGCATCGGCGATTGTTGAAGAAGTTTCCAAAGCAACGACCTTATTGAAGGATAGTATGCCTAAGTTGTTTTCCTGAGGCTCCCACGAAGCTCTCGTTGTTACAGTTGTCAAAAATAATTTTCTTTTGGATAAGTGCTGATATATTACGACGGAAGCCTCAAGATAATATAATTTCAGTGCTGCACTTTCACCATGGAAGGGTTATAGCTTTTGCTTATACTTTATGGGAATGATAATCAAATCCTCGCCGCGACGTTGGAGTATAATGGTATAAAGTTCAGCAATAAATATCTAAAATGCAGAAAAATAGCGAGCTACTAAACGTTTTAATTTTAAGACGTATTCTCTAACCAAATCATGAAGGAAGATAAAAGTCTTAAGGAGCAGTATGTCTCAAAATAAAATGTTACTTTAAGAATGGTTTCTTCATAAAAAGTTTAGTGTTATTAGGCCTTTGTTGGTGTAATTATAATAAAAAAATTATAACAATTGTGTAACAATTATGTCACGCCGGTATTTATTATAGAACTTGAAGAGTAGGGCCTTCTGTCCGTAATTATATTTAAACAATGCAAGGAACGAAAAGTAATTGTAGATGCCAAATTGTAAGCACATTTACGACAATTTTCTCACCGTCATTTTTGTCAATCATAATCTGATGCATTTGCGAAATCGAGCTTTAATATGAAAAGCTGAAGATAGCAGAAATATATTTACCTTTAAACCTAGACCTGAATTATCTCGTTGGTAGACAAGGAGACTCGCTGGTAGGAGTGCTCAATTATCAAAACGAGCCGTTTATCCTTGCATTTAGAAGCAAGACTGTTTAACCATAAATTTGAATCTGAATTAAAAGAAAATACAGTTCTTTTTTGAAAATATATAGACGAAAATTTGGCCTAACGTGTTATGTTGAAATTTAAAGTGAAGAACAATTTTATTTTAACCATCACTAAGTTAAATGACCTAAAATATAAAAGATGATGAAATGACCTGTTATCATTAAACGTGTTATTTGTGCATTTTACACAATCGCGCATTACTTATGATGTCTTTTTCCTCTTTCTTCTAGGAACCAAAATGGATATGAAGGCAATTAGGGAGATTTTTTTTCTTGTGTTCCTCTACCTTTCAATAGAGGCCGAAACAACAAAGGAAGGCTTTTAAAGGTAAATATAATTATAATGCAAAAAGTAAACGCTCATCAGACTCGCATAATTAATAGGCACTTTTAAAGTCCCAGTCATTTTAATCAAGTCATGTTTTACAAAATCGTTTATGTAACAAAAATAGATCATCGAAAAAGTAAAAAATAGAGACTTGAAGTTGCTGACTATTTTTAAAAAAAGCCACAAAAAAAGGCTTTATAGCGTAGAGTACTTGACGGTCATGCCATTCACATTTGGCGTCTTTTAATTTTTTATCAAAAAAAGGTGGTTCAAAAACAGACAGTTAGGTAACGTTTAGGTCGATGGTTTTTCAAGAGTTTATGTTTTCCGATACAAAGTTCCCGAAGCATACAAAATATTTTGATGTCAGCTCCAATTTATCGTGGTTCAATTGTACTTGACCATATTTTGCTCACTTCGTTCTCTTTTTTCTTTTTTTCTCCTTTTTTTTTGTTTTTACTACTACTTAAGTAGTGTTCATTACTACGAAGATCGCTTTCATATTCACGTAATTAACCGCAGTTCAAATATACGACTTTCATATATTCACAACCGTTTATTCACCACTTCACGGGTTTATTTGGAAACAACACAGTGACCAGCTCTCAGTTGGCTTGTTAGCTCAGTGGGTAGAGCACTGCAC